ATATCACCCTGGATCAGATAAGACTGAAACTTAGGCAAGATATTCAAAACATAAATTCTAGTTTCTTTATAACTATGTTACTATGTATGTAGTATGTACCCTGAATGATCATTTAGGTATAGATCAGTTCAATGTTTTTTGTCACTGTCAGAGTCACCAACAATTCTGACCAGCCCAAACATTGGGATTCTCACAGGGCCTCTCCCGTGAGACGAATGAATAACTGAGTTTTATTGCGGCAGGGAGTTAAGAGAAAAATTGGGATACTTGAGCTCTTCATCATACAATTCTTCCTGCAGGACAAATCACAACAATTTTGATAATAAAGACTGTAAAAAAGTTGAGAGAAGGCCATGGGGAGTTGATTATATTAATGGGCAACATTCAACGGTCCTGTACTTGCCTTTGAAAGCAGTATACTTTCCTGCTCAATAACTTAAGCCGATCTCTGACCAATTACATGAGTAGAAGTGAGAAGATGCCAATGATGCTTTAAGAGACATTGTATTTTACCATGGATCTCTTTGTTCTTTTTTTTTAATTAATGAGAGTGAACATGTCTGCTAAAGGAACTCTCCCTCAGCCTGGGCCCCAAATGAAAAAAAAACACATAAAATAAAAGTCTCAACCTGTTTAAAAGCCTGGAACCATGTGGAAATTCCAAAAGCACACACAAACAAGGAATAACCCTTTGTTGTAGTTAACAAGAAGTCTGAGATTGTTTCTAAAGCTGACTAATACAATCTCTTTTCATAAAATCCTTACAGGCTAAGTTGAGACAGGTTTAATATTTCTCCTATAAGCAGTTGCTCTAAAGTGTCTATAATAAATATGGCCCTTGTAGACAACTTTTGGCTTTTGATATTCACAGATTTATCAAAGTACTAAAAATTTTAGTTAATGTTCAATGACTGACATAAATGAAAAAAATATTTTCATTGGCAAATGAGTAAGAATTTCTTTTTCTAAACTCTTGTTAATGACAAATATATATATATATATATATGTTGTTATATATATATATATATGCCCTAGGAAGACATAAGATGCTTGACTTTGCATGGTTGTTGGCAGGATGCCTCAGCTCCCATTGTAATAAAGACAGATGATCTCTTTTTTTTTTTTTTTGGCCATATAATCTGAGCCGAGTATATTTATGTCATGGCAAACACTTTTTTTTTTTTTAATTAATTTTTTATTTCCAGATACTAAAAAAAGACTTAAAAAATTGAAGTATATTTTGACATATAACATTATATTAGTTTCAGGTGTACATGATGATTAGATATTTGTGCATATTGCAAAATGATCACCACACACAAGCCTACTTAACATCTGTCATCATGCAGAGTTACAAAACACAGTTACTGCATAAAAAATTTTTTTCTTAAGTGATGAGGACTCTTTAAATAATCCTTCAAATATGCACAGTATTATTATAGTCAAATTATGTTGTACACTACAGCCTACGACTATATTATAAAATGAAGTTTACACCTTTTGACTACCTTTCACCCATTTTGATCACCCCAGCTCTGCCTCTGGTAATCAGTCTGTTCCCGTATTCATTGACCTTTTTGTTTTTGTTTCTGTTTATTTTTTTATTTTATTTTTTTTAGGTTTCACATATAACTGAGATCATATGGTATTTGTCTCTGTCTGACTTCCTTCATCTTCTAGCATAATGCCTTTTAAATTTCATCCATGTTGTCACAAATGGCAAAATACTTTCATTTATTGATGAAAAAATCAATAATCAAATACAGAAAATAATATACAAGCCAAGACAACATTGTTTAAATAGCAGCTAACAATTCTTCTTCTTTACTTTTTTTTGTTTTTGTTTTGTTTTGCAAATATCACATATTCTTTAGAAGTTTTGAAGAGTACAGAGCTTACACATTCATTGCATTGTATATATTAGGCAGAAAGATCCCCATAAATACTTCAAATTAGCTAAATTGACATTCAAGAAGCAATAATACTCATTGGGGATTATTTATAGACATCTAGAAATCAGTCCAGTTCTTCTAAACTTATATTAGACTAAGATAAATTCCAGTAGTTATTTTTCAGAAAAATAAAAAAAGAAAATACAAAGGTATAGTTATGCCTCCAAATGTATTTATTTCTTTTTTTTATCAATATATGAAATTTATTGTCAAATTGTTTCCATACACCCAGTGCTCATCCCAAAAGGTGCCTCCCTCACACACCCATCACCCAATCTCCCCACCCTCCCTCCCACCCCCCATCAACCCCTCAGTTTGTTCTCAGTTTTTTAAGAGTCTCTATGCTTTGGCTCTCTCCCACTCTAACCTCTTTTTTTTTTTTTTTTTTTTCCCCTTCCCCTCCCATGGGTTTCCTGTTATGCTTCTCAAGGTCCACATAAGAGTGAAACCATATGGTGTCTTTTCTCTCTTGTATGGTTTATTTCTTTAATTTAGCATCACACTCTCCAGTTCCATCCACGTTGCTAAAAGGCCATCTTTCTCTATTCTTTTCTCATTGCCACGAGGTATTCCATTGTATATAAAACCACACCTTTATCCATTCAGTTGATGGACATTTAGGCTCTTTTCCATTAACACTCTATTATTGTTGAGAGTGCTGCTATAAACATTGGGGTACAAGTGCCCCTATGCATCAGTACCCTGTGTCCCTTGGGTAAATTCCTCAGCAGTGCTATTGCTGGGTCATAGGGTAGGTCTATTTTACCTTTCTGAGGAACCTCCACACTGCTTCTCTGAGCGGCTGCACCACTTGCATTCCCAAATTCAACAGTGCAAGAGGGTTCCTGTTTCTCCACATCCTCCAGCATCTATAGTCTCCTGATTTGTTCATTTTGGCCACTTGATCATGCGAGGGGTGATACCCGAGTGTGGTTTGATTTGTATTTCTGATAAGGAGCGACGCTAACATCTTTTCATGTGCCTGTTATTATCTGATGTCTTCTTTACAGAAGTGTCTATTCATGTTTTCTGCCCATTTCTTCACTGGGTTATTTGTTTTTCTCGGTGTGGAGTTTGGTGAGCTCTTTATTTTGGATACTAGCCCTTTGTCCTGACATGTCATTTGCAAATATCTTTTCCATCTATTGGTTGCCTTTTAGTTTTGTTGTTGTTTCTTTGCTGTGCAGAAGCTTTTTATCTCATAAGGTCCCAGTAATACTTTGCTTTTAATTCCCTTTGCCTTTGGGATGTGTCGAGTAAGAGATTGCTGTGGCTGAGGTCAGAGAGGTCTTTTCCTGCTTTCTCTCCTCTAAGGTTTTGATGGTTTCCTGTCTCACATTCAGGTCCTTATCCATTTTGAGTTTATTTTTTGTGAATGGTGAGAAAGTGGTCTAGTTTCTTTAACCTTCTGCATGTTGCTGTCCAGTTCTCCCAGCACCATTTGTTAAAGAGATCAAGTCTCTTTTTTCCATGGATGACTTTTTCCTGCTTTGTCAAAGATGAGTTGGCCATACGTTTGTTGTCTAGTTCTGGGGTTTCTATTCTATTCCATTGGCGTGGTCTGTTTTTCAGCCAATACCATGCTGTCTTGATGCTGATGACAGCTTGTAGTAGAGGCTAAAGTCTGGGATTGTGATGCTCCTGCTTTGGTCTTCTTCTTCAAAATTACTTTGGCTATTCGGGCCTTTTGTGGTTCCATATGAATTTTAGGATTGTTTGTTCTAGTTTCTAGTAGAAGAATGCGGTGCACTTTGATTAGGGATTGCATTGAATGTGTAGATAGTTTTGGGTAGTATTGACATTTTGATAATATTTATTCTTCCAATCCATGAGCAGGGAATGTCTTCATTTCTTTTATATCTTCTTCAACTACCTTCATAAGCTTTCTGTAGTTTTCAGCATACAGATCCTTCACATCTTTGGTTAGATTTATTCTAGGCATTTTATGCTTCTTGGTGCACTGTGAATGGGATCCGCTTTCTTTATTTGTCTTCTTCTGTTGCTTCATTAGTGTATAAGAATGCAACTGACGCCATTGATTTTGTATCCTGCAACTTTGCTGAATTCATCAGTTCTAGCTGACTTTTGGTGGAGTCTATCGGATTTTCCATGTATAATATCATGTCATCTGCAAACAAATGTATTTATTCTTTAGTGTTTTCTCCCAAGGTCTTCGAAGTCCATGCACAGTTATTGATATATATTTATGCATATATGTATATAGAAGCATATGCACATACTAAATATACTACTAAATGAAAAAAAAGTAGCCATAAATATAAAGAAATTGAACTGTCTGCTTATGTTTTTTGATATTTAACTACTTTTATTTTTGGGGTTTTTTAAAAAAATTTATATATTGTTTAATTTACATCCAAGTTAGTTAGTATATAGTGTAACAATGATTTCAGGAGTAGATTCTTTAATGTCCCTACCCATTTAGCATCCCCCCCAACTCCCCTCCGCAACCTTTCTGTTTGTTCTCTCTCTATATTTAAGAGTTCCTTTATGTTTTTTTTCTCGTTCCTCTGTTTTTATATTCTGCTTCCTTTCCCTTATGGTCATCTGTTTAGGATCTTAAATTCCTCATATGAGTAAAGTCATATGATATTTGTCTTTCTCTGGCTGACTAATTTCACTTAGCAGAATACCCTCTAGTTCCATCCATGTAGTTGCAAATGGCAAGATTTCATTCTTTTTTATTGACAAGTAATATTACATTGTATATATATACCACATCTTATTTATCCATTCATCCATTGATGGACATTTTTGGTTATTTTTGACTCGACAATTCAAACTGTGTGTTCCTACATCATACACATAGATCATAGATTTGTAGTAATTTATAGGTTATATATTTGTGCAATATTTGTAAAAAAAAAAAAAAGGAAGAAAAAGAAAGAAAACAAAAAAGACCATAGCCTGGACAAAAATCTTGTTTTTATATTAACATTTCAATAATCATGTGAATCTGATCATGATCCTTCATATGATTCCTTCTCTACCAATCCAAAATTTGAAAAAAGTGAGGAACGATGAGAAGAAAGCTTTAACCTTAGATATGTTAAGAAAACCCTTCTTAGATTTCAGTTCTTAACTTTAGAGTAGACCCTTTCATTTGCTGCTCATAATGTATATCAAATTTCTCATTCAGTGCTACTGTAAAGTGATTCTTCCAGTCTCCTGCAATCCCTGCAACAAAAGAGAAAACATAGTAAATATGTTGTCCAGCCAGAATCATGACATTCTCTAACATTTATTATATTCATTAACACCTAATCAAATTTTATTCTTATAGTCTTCAATTATAAAAGTAAAATATATACCATAAGTAGTATACACACACACACACACACACATTTGAGCAAAGAAATATTTGTCCTGATTATTAAAAAACAAACAAAACTCAGCAAATTTCTTTCTCTGACTCTTCTCTCTTGTGCTACTTTACTTAATTTTTCTTCTACAGTTTCCTCTGAAATGTCAGTACTTCTAAGACGAGATCCATGTTTTACCCACTCCCAAGATATGAAATATTATCTTCAAACTAAAACTCAAATCCAGGCTTATGTCTCCATATCCAATTGCCTATCTGATATTGCCACTTGGATTCCATGTAAGTGTCTCAAATTCAACTAGTTCAAAATTAAATGCATTTTCTCCCCACAAAACTGTGTTTTCTTTGTGTAATTTTCCATAACTTGGTTAATGACAACACTAGATATCCAAGGCATAAATTCATAAGTTGTCCCTCAACTAATTCTAATTCTATACTCATATTCATAATTTTTTCATATCCTTTGCTTCCTCTCAATTTTTGCTTCTGCTGATAGTTAAGCTTCTCAACATTTCCCAGCCTTGTGTTATTGCAAGTCTAGCAGGCTCTTTTGTTTTCCATTACACCCAACCCTCCCCTGGGAGAAGGAGTATCTTAAATTAGTAGTTCCCTTGTCCCCTTAACTCAAGGAGGTCTAAACTTTCATAATTAAATAACCCAAAAAGATAGAAAATATGTGTCCTGAGAATTGAGTAGGGTCTGAGGTTATAGCAGTATGCAGCCCTCTACAAGCATGACTACTATTTTAAGTCCATCATTTTATCATAAAAATACACGTGGACACTATGAAAAAGAAGACTGAGATTATTTGAGAAGTAAACAATGAAAATATAATCCATTTGTTAACTCTCTTTTCAGGGGCTCTCTACTGGTGCCAGTGGCGGGTTTGCTATTCCTATTATTTTAAAAATTCCTGACCCTCTCACTGAAAGTTTCCTTCAAAGAGCAAGATTTTCTCTATTCTGTTCTGCTTCACATATCAGCAAGACCGATGTCCCAATACTCTGCATAATCTATATGCCTTTGGATTTATAGACTGACCATATCTCATCAGATAATTCCTCCTCTCAATAGAATGTCACCTCACTGTATTTTGATATTTTTGGTTAAACAAAGCTGTATGTGCCACAAGTGTTTTGAAGCTTAATCTTTTTAAAACAACTTTAATGAGGTGAACTGATATACAAAGAACTATACACATTTATTGTGTACAATTTGATGAGTTTGTATATTTGCCACTTGGTCTTGAAAAATGTTTACCACTTTGTGAAGGTAAAGCTCATTGTTCCAGGCTTGTTTCCTCATCTCAAAGTGAGGTAACAAAGAAGTTTTCTTTTGAGTGTCTAGTTTGAATTTAAAGAGAATTAGAATTTTAAAATCATATACATTTATATAATGTATAAATTTATGTATATATACATTTATATATGTATATTTATATATGTATATACATATATTTATATATGTATATTTATGTATATATATTTATATATATATTATGTATATAAAGTATAAATTTATGTGATATATATAATATAATTTATATAATGTACATGGCGCAGCACCAAGGCCCACAGACTTTATAAATGATAGCTAGTAGGGTCTGGTATTAATGCTGGTACTAAGGCTGGGGTGGCTGCTAGCCTTTCTTAATATGCTGCAGATACTAAGTAATCAATAAGTAGTAGCAATTTAGTAGTAGCAGTAGTAGCAGCAGCAGAAATACTAATGTTTTAATGCCTCTGTAGAACTGGTAACTCAATACAAAAATCACTCAAATGTAAAACAGCTCTGAAGAAAACAAGCTGGGTCCACAGGCTAGAATAACTTCAACAGGTGTCTGCCGGTAACTATTTCAACTTGTGACTTCCTATAGCAATCGGGGCAAATTGCAGGACGAGCTCACCCTTTCTCATGAAGGGAGAAACTTTTTGGTTCATGATTTCTTCTGGTAGTGTTGTATAATTGGTAGATGGGTTGTTCTTCATCTCCTGGAATGAAGTATGTTGTATAATCTTGTCCACAAGCTCTTCTGATGGCTTCCTTCCCAGAAATTGTATCAGTTTTATCACCTCTTTTCTGATATCCTAGAGAAAAAAAAATATTTTGAAACTTTAATTACTAAAGTTAAATATATTGCTATTTGGATTGAGAGAGAGAGGGAGAGAGAGAGAGAGAGAGAGGGAGAGAGAAACTCTTTTTCCCCACTGACATTGGCTTCAAATTAGGTTTCAAGTGAAAATAAAAACAAAACACTTCTTGGAGAAGTGGAATTTTTTTTAACTTCTCTAGGCATTATTATTTTATCCATAATGTAGATATAAAAGATGCTTCAAAGATTGTTAGAATCAACTAAATTAGCTCATGTTTATAAAATATTTTTTATAGTTCTTGATGTTTATTTAGTACATGCTCAATAACTATTATCTAACAGTATGAATATACACTCTCAAAGACTATAGTCTCACCTATAACAGATTAAGTTTTGGGCTAAAAATATGTACACAGTTTTCATTTTTCTCTAATTTATTGATGTACATACTGAGAAGCAAAGTAACCAAAAAGATTAAGAAAAATTATAAAAACTCAAATAGTCAACATGGAACATCAGATGTATATGAACGAACCATAGCTATAAACATCCCCATTCCTATGTCACTCTTATAGTGTGCCCTACCATCCAGGAAAATCATCCAATGCAACTATTCGCAATACCAACTATAACACTTATCTCTGGTGTATAGTTTCCTTTACAAAGAATGCAATTTTCAAATTCTCTGTTCTAAAAATTACAGCTTGCCTGTCAAGCTTCAGCTCAAGTATCACCTTCTTTGGGTAATTTCTTTGAACTAATCCAGTTTGAGTGAGATAACCCTATTTTTGCTCCTATAAATTCCCATATAAGTCTTTATTCTCATAATTTTATTTACTTGTCTATCTTCTACCAAAAAGTTTGTATATCTATATATAATATTAATATATCTTATTCTCTTTCTACTTGATACATTGTAGAAACAAAGGAAAACTAACTTATTCTCTTAGGCACCTTACTGATTCAAATTTGGAGGAGACTTCAACATGGTCATTATCAACCAAAATAGGGAATAAGTGAACATAGACCCTGGGGTGGGAAGGTTGAAATGGTTAGATTAGTTAATAAATTTTTTGTGTGTGAGTTTTAAATTTACTCTTTTCAATATTCTGGTTATAGAGCATAATATTAGGCAATATAATAAACTACATATCATGGTTGTTTCTCTTTTTCAAATTTGTTATACTGTTAAACTCTATAAAGAAATAACACTTCAGTTTCTAAAACATTATGTATGATTTTATTTTAAATTTGTTCTGATCAAAACAACTCTAGAATTTTTGCAACATGGATTTTAATAACTGTACAAAGATGTGAGCAAGAAACAATTATTGATTGCTTTCTTGGTGCTAATAAAGAATGAGAGAAGAAAAGACATTTCTCTTAATAAAGAAACCCGGGATTTGTCTATTTTTGCAAAAATTATTTGTGTACATTTGTGCTTCAACCTACTACTCAATTTATGGAACAGAATACTCAAAATTTCTAGAGTTCTTCCATTTGCAAGTTTTGAACTTCATTCGTTCCACTTTCCATTCCCATAAACAACAAAAAACATCAACATAAAACCTGCCATTCTAAAACTGATCTAATCAACCCTGTGCCTTACTTAATAGTTTTCAAACATACACATATTATCCACAGACAATATATGATTTGGTTTTGCCCAATTGATGTGCATATTTGACGTTTACTCTTTTTCATTCCGATATCATACTTAATTGTAGGACAAGAGCATATATCATGATTCTTGAGCCTATGTATATTTGGGTTGTTTCCAATTTTTATAGTTATGGAGAATGCTGCTTTGAAGATTATTGTACATATAACCTAATGTACACAAACCAGAGTTTCTCAAGAGTATATACGTAGGCATTTGGGAGTGTTAAATCCTGTTTGGTTGCCCTTCTTAGATAATGACAAATTGTTTCCATAGTGTTTCTTATCTTCTGTATCTTCTTATACTTCTATCAGTAATATGGTACTTCTCAATGGTCCACATTAACTGACTTGTTAATTGTCAGTTTGGTGCGTGAAATGCCATCTCATAGTGACTTTTATTTTGTGTTATCCTGATTACTAATGAAGTTGAGAAAAAATACACTATGAGGAAATTTGAGATCATCATACTTTTGCATATTGCTGCTCTGACATTCTGTTTATTCTCTTCTTCTGGAAGTTTGAGTTGATAGATGTGGAATCGTATCACTATCCCACATATCTATCACTCTATTTTTAAAGTATTCTACTCATCTCATTGTAGTACATTCTACGTAATTTCCTCTGCTCCATTTCCACTTCACTAACTTACTATTTAGCCATGTTCTGTCTGTTATATGAACCATCTCTTAATTTTTTAATTTTTAAAAATTATTTTAGAAATTCTATTTTGCTATTTTTTTCAAATCTGCTGAGTCAATTTTAGTAACCTCTTCTTTCTTTGTAAAATATTTTTCTTCTTTTATTTCTTTAAACATATTAAGAATAATTATTTTATAGGGTTTATCTGATAATTCCAACACCTATAGATTTGGAGGCAGTTGACACTTCTTGTCCATCGTGATTCCTTATGTGTTCATATCTGTGTGCGTGTGTGTGTGTGTGTGTGTCTGTTTGCTGTTGTTTTGTGAACTCAAGTTCTTTCAAATTTTATATTTGTTAATTTTTTGAGACTCGGTTTAAATATATTTATTCACGGAAGAGTTCTATTTAATAGCTTCAAATCTGTGTTAATGTATCTGAATTATTATAACTTTCGGAGATGCCTGAATCATCTATTTAAAGACATATTTTTGTATCTAGAGTCTTGTCAAGTGTTAATATTTTAGAAACTATTAAGTTGCCCATATGTTTTCTTTTTTAAAAGTGTTTAATTCCAGTTAGCTAACATACAGTGTTATATTAGTCTTAGGTGTACAATAGTCCATAGGTTTTCAATTTCTCACCTCCTTCATGTCTTCATAGAAGAGAAAAAGCACATGTGGATTCTTCCTCTTTTCCCACCAAGATTTTGCATGTTTATACCAGGAACCATAAGGCACTAAAGTTAGACATAAAAGCAATGTAAGGGCCTGGTATCATCTCTATAAAGCTTGAAAATGAGTATGTAAACAATAGTAACCACAAATAAATATAAATAAATGATCATGGAATGAAAAATAGAGGTCAGTCACAGATCTTAAGCAAATTTCTCTGCAGCAAGAGAGGCAAAGTATGTTGAATAATCCATGTACAGAAATACATTCTAGACTTTCAACATTATGACATGGTTTATGACATGGTTTATGGTTAATTATCTGATTAACTTGATTCACAGCTTATAAGAGCATTTTTGAAATGTGTGCGTGTGTGCGTGCGTGTGTATTTGTGTGTGTGTGTGTGTGTGTGTGAAATCAAGTTGTCAGTGAAGGGAGTTGAGTTAATGAAACTATTAATGATCTTATAATGAGAATTCAGTCTAGGTTGAAATTTACTATTCATAAAACTAGCTTTTACAATTAAAGCTGGTAACTATATAACTTTTTATTATATTACTAGCAGTTTATATGGTAGGGATGTTTTCTTAGGGACTCTTAGTGTTATTCTCATTTTTAAAAAGTTAGAAGACTTTTTTTTTATTTATTCTTGAGAGAGACAGAGAGACAGAGAGACAGAGCACGAGCAAGGGGGGGGGGGCAGAGAGAGAGAAGGAGACACAGAATCTGAAGCAGGCTCCAGGCTCCTAGCCTAAAGTGGAGCTCCAACCCATGAACCGTGAGATCGTGACCTAAGCCAAAGTCGGATGTCCAACCAACTGAGCCACCGAGGCACCCCCAAAAAGTTAGAACATTTTGAAGATGACGTGATTTGCTCAAAAGTGGTCTCTCTTCCCTTTTCTTTTCTCATGCATATCCCAGTGTTTCACCCAATAAAAAGCTGACCAAATAATATAATGCTGTGTGAGTCAATGCTGTGTGAGACAAGACACTGCTTTGCATTGTCATTGTCCACCACTTCTGTCCTTTGACTCTACTGACAATTGTTTTTAACATAAAATATTGTATATATGTCTGTATATGTATATGTATATGTATATGTATATAATTGGATAATTGGATGATCTTTTCATCCAATTTGCAGAGGTACAACATTATCTTTCTCTGACTTACAATATGGGTTTTGACCATCTTTAGACATATGTTAAATTTGTGATGGTTTAGCATAAATTTTTCCAAATTACAGCAACAAACATAAAGTCCATATATTCCACTTTTATTGAGTCAATATTACTCAATGGATATAAAGACATTATTACCATTTTTTTTTTGCAATTATTACGACAGGATCAGAATGGTCTTCTTTAGAAAATACTAGACTCTCTTGAATCCTTTCTTCCTCAACTTTAAATAGTTGCTATAGTCTGGAGTTAATTAAAAGGTAAAATTTCCCATAATTTCTGCTCTAATAACTCTTGTATGGTTCTGAGAAATCTAGTTAAAACATTCAGACTGTACCCTGGATGAAAAGAAAAAGAACTTTGTAGATACTCAGATTTCTTCGTGAATGCTCATTCAACAAAGCACTTGAAATTTTCCTTGGAAACAAATGGGCACTCTCCCTTTTCTATTTCCTTGCCCCCTTATTCAATAGAGTTGTAATGCTATGAGATACTTTTTCTAATAAAAAGAAATGATACAGAATTGGACACTGAATCTCAGTCTTAGAGAGGAAAATGGCTACCTCCAACCTCCAAACACACTTTTATATATTTATTTTTAGGCACTGAACTGGAGTGTCCAGATTCTGCATTTTCCATCCACATCTGGAAACACTGTGCTTGCTCTAAAGTTCAAAGTCTTCTAGAATTTCTGTTTTAATTAAGGATCAGAGAAGATAGCAGACCACAACAGACAACAAAAATATTTGCTCAGAGACGTCATTTGTCTTGTATCATTTACTTGAAAGAATTCCAAGTAAAGAAGGTGTCCTACCTTGTCCATCCATGAATCTCTCCACAAACTCTTCAAAAGATCCAGGATCTGGATGGCCATTTACCATTAGAAAGAAATAATAAAAGGAAACAGCGACATCTTTGGCGTTCCGGCAAAGATAGATCATCTAAAAGGATGACATTATATATTACGTCACTTGATTTTTTTCAAACATAGTCTCATCAAGAAACATTTATCTTTCCAACTACAAACATAATACATATTCATTGTAAAAAGTATATAAAATATATAAAATTATAAAGAAGAAAAATTCAATAACCTGAAGTGAAAGTATCTTTTTATTCAGTGCCTGTTCTCACTTTTCATTTTGTATGCCATTTTCACGTATAATAACTCATTTTAATGTCACAAATGCAGTCTTTCATGCAGTCTTGGAGGGAACAAACGTATTTAATGGGGGTCTATTTAAATGCACGTTGATCACAGTGAAAATGTAATCTTCACTAACATCGTGTTGAGTTTCTGTACTACATGCAGAAGAAACACCAATCAGAAAGAGCAGTCAGGAAGCCTTGGTTAATTGCCAGTCTGGCACTAAAAAGTTCTATCATCTTGTGCGAAGCACCAGTTTTGTATATAAATTTTCTATCCAGTAAGCAAGTGAGTTGCGTCTGATCTTTACGGTCTTTTCTAGGTCCAGTACACAGTGCTGCAGGAAAAGATCTGCAAAAGGAAACTTCAGCATTCCTGTGGTCTCCACTTCTGCCCTCAGGAACCTGAGCCTTGCCATCAGGGAAGGCTGTTCATGACTCTCCACTGTTTACTGGATTTGATTGGGCTCACTAACTTTTCTTAACTCTTCAAGTTTCTACATTTGCAAACAATTTTAAAGATTTCTTGTAGTATATTCTAAGAAATATGGCTCTCATTTTTAAAGTCCTGCTATAAAAACCTCCAATTACTGCAGAAAAAAGTGAATTTTCTTTTCTTATGAAAGCTATCAATAGCCATATTGAACTTTTCCAATGTAATGTAACACTCTCCTTCTTGCGTTTTGCATACTAGCTGAATAGAACTCATTGCCACTGCATGCATGAATTTACTTCAGATCTTTACCCCTTGCATTTCTTCATGCTGTTCCCTCTGTCTTGAATATTCTCTACATCTCAAAATACTATCCATATTTTAAAGCTTGGTTGCAGGTCTTCATGAGGCTTTTTATTTTCTCAGATAGGGGGTGGGGATAACAAAAGCAATCCCTCTTCCCCCTAAACTCCCATTTAGTTTATCTTATCTTCATTTTGACAGATACTATTCTATACCCCAAAGTTTTTGCCATGCATGCTATTCCTGTCTTGGAGGGAAATCTAGATCTTTCTAAAAGATAGGGCTTTGCCTGTATTGCTCTCCAGACAAAGTTGCTAGTTTACCCACAATTCTCTTGGGATCATAATCCACTTTAAAATGCTATACTTGAAACACCCCTGTTCCTGTGATACTTCATACCTCTCACAACTAAAGCTTGTGGTGATTTCCTTGCTTTAATTGAAAATATGAACATCTGCCTCATTGTATTACTCTCCATTCCCAATCTTGTCATCATCCAGTGTAACTTTAGTATCTGTATGCATGAACCATCTAATTCACTAAGTTCTTGTATTCATTGATCATTTCCTTTAGTTTACCACAGCTAACCACTTTTATGACCAAATCACAAATAATGTCAGCACCCTAAAGGTTTCACTTCTGAAGACCTATGCTGGAACATCATGTTTTCTTCCAAGAAATTCCTACTCCTTCTTTCTTATCAGTTTTTCCCAATATATCTGTCCTGAAACAATTCCAAGGTCTGAAATTTATTGTCCTCAATGTTTCTTTTATGTGTTAGTTTGACCCCCTTTCCCCTCACTTTTTAAAATTCTCTTTTAGCTTCTGGTTCATCACTGTAAATACACTTTTACTAATAGTCCCAATCCATCTATCTTCTTGTCCCTCAGTGAATTACCTCAAAAATGCTCAGGACATGATTCTATCTAACTGTTTGATTGATGTCTGAGATGATAGCCAGTTTTGTGAATGCTAAATAGTTTAGTGAAGACTAAGACTATTGTAAATGGATTGTATCTATTTTCATTTGAGACCTGAAGGGGCCACAACCCATTCTCCAAAAGAAAAAGAGGTAACTTGGTCAAATCTCTTGAAAAAATGGTGATTGCACATCTCCCGAAAAATATATAAATGGTCTAATGAGAGAAACTTTATGTAATGAATGATGTCAGCAGGATGTACATGTTCCATCTAGGATTGTTTTGATGAAAGTTAAACAACAAACAAGAAACTAGAACCTTCAGAATTTTGGACCATCGATCTCCATAAAAATGTCAAACACACCAGCTATCATTAGAGTACAAAATAGAAATGTTTCCTGACTGTGATTAACCCCCAATTTTGTTATTACAACTGCGTATAGTACTTTGATATCTCATACTTGTAGCATATAGGGTTGTGGTATATCCTAAAGAAAGCTAGAAAGGTGTTGAGAAACAGCATCAATAATCCAAGACATAATGTTTTAGGGTTATATATCATTCTCTGTAAAAACCAAAACTGATCACGTCAATCATCAACTCAAAATGTCTGTAACTCCTCATTACCACCAAATAGAGTCCAAACTTCCTAACTTAACTTCAGTGTCTGTTGTGATCAAGCCCTAGCTTATCTCCCTTCATTTATCCAGCCAATGTGTATAGTCAACCTAGCAACTGAAATGAACTTGTTTCAGATCATCATTAGGGTTGCCTCTGGGATTGTATAGACTAACTCCAATACATCTTTTAAATATCAGCTGAGATGTTACTTGTTCTTGAATACCTGCCTTACTGTAATATCTGGGCCAGCATTCTCTTACTTGACCTGTGACACCTACTGCATCGTCTGCTTATTTGTCCCTTTCCCCCAATGGACCATGTGATCATGAAGACAAGGCTTGCACATATATTATTAATCCTTACATTGCTGGCACACAATAGATACTCAGTAAGTAATTATTATATAATACTTGTCTGGTTTATCTTTTTCTAGTTTGCTTGAATGCCTCAACATGCCAAGTACAATAGTTTGCAAAAAGGAATACATTCAATACAATCATTAGTAACAAATACAAAAGTAGCTACCATTTACCAAATGTTTATAATATACTAGATACCGTGTTAAGCACTTAACAAGCATTATTTCACTTAATTCCTATAACAGCTCCACCAGGAAGATGCTGTTATTATCCCCTTGCAGATGAATACCTTGGAGTGGCTTAGAGTTTACCTGTTTTTTTTCCAAATAACCTCTAGAGTTGGAGTTGAAATATAGACTCTAACTACACTGACCTTAATCCATATTTATTAAATATCTGTAGGTTCCATGAAAGAACAAATAAATGTGTATAAGACACAGGATGCTACCTGACTTGATCATTGCAAAATTATTTTGAGTTGGATGACTTTTTTTAATGTTTATTTATTTTTGAGAGAGAGAGCTTGTGCAAGGCGGAGGAGGGACAGAGAGAGAGGGAGACAGAGGATCTGAAGCAGGCTCTGCACTGACAGCAGAAAGCCTGATGTGGGGCTCAAACTCATGAACTGTGAGATCATGATCTGAGCCAAAGTCAGATGCTTAACCGACTACAGCCACCCAGGTGCCCCGACTTGGATGAAGTTTTAAGAATACTAGACTCTGGTTACCTTACAGTTATTTTCCCAAAATGAGGCTGGAAGAATGTCAGCTGGCAGATGAGTCTTCACTATTCTAGGAGATGCCATCTGTTTTAATTGTTTTACTCCTGATTTTTAAAAAGTTAAAGGTTATATACAACTTCCAAAATTATAAATATTTATGTGGATTTTATAGATATTTTTAAAATAGAAGTAACTTTAAGATTCTATATTGTATTCATAGTAATAATACATACTCGCTATGATAGAAGTTTACATAGAGGAAATTATAGAGAAAACAACAAGATAAGATACAATTTCACCATATTGGAAAAAATAAGTATTAATATTTTGGTGAGCAGCCTTCCATATAAATGCAGTTGACCTTTGAACAACATGTGTTTGAACTTCCCAGGTCCACTTATATATGAATTCTTTTACAGTACAATACTATAAACGTAGTTTCTCTTACTTATGATTTTGTTAGTAACATTTGCTTTTCTCTAGCTTACTTTATTATAAAAATACAATATATTAATACATGTATAAAATACAAAATATGTGTTAATCGACTGTTTACATTATTGGCAAGGTTTCTGATCCAATAGTGGCCATTAGTAGTTAAATCTGGGGGGAGTCAAAAGTTATATGCAGATTTTTTTATTGTGTGAGGGGTGATCATCCCTAACCTCAGCATTGTACAAGGGTCAACTGTATATCTCTATGCCCAGTCTCAGAGCCATCTAAATACCACACATGCAGACAGAATTTTTAGTACCTTCTAATTGATTTTTCCTTAACATATTATATTGAAACTACAAGGAACATAAGCCAACCTAATTTTTTTAATGATTTCATAGTGTTATTGTATCACATTAAGCTATTCCTTTTTTTGATTAATGCTTAAGTTGTTTCTAATTTTTCACAATATTTAAAGAACCTCTGATGAATATCATTTTGGATATATCCTTGAAAATTTACATATATTTTTCTAATGTTTAAAGTATTATCACATTCAGCCATATAGGGATAAATGCTTACATATTACTAGACTCTACTGAGGGCATATAAAAGCTATCCTTATTCACTCTATATCAGACAAATGCTATACCATAAACTCTGTCAAGATTTAAATTTAAATTTATGTACTCTCCATGTAGAGGACATCATACTAATTGTCACTCTTGCTTCCTCTCTCTTTTCTTGCACCTGCTATAGCCACACTTTAAAATATATGTAAACAGCTTTAAACATCTACTTAAATATTACCATTCATCAGCTCTTCTCTTCTGCACTCCAAGAAAGGTATTCGATTAAAAATGACATCTTCTTTGCATTTTTCCACATCACCCTCTTTGCAGATCATGTATACAATTTCACTAACCCAGGTTGTACCTGTAAAAATTAGACAAACCTTAGTGTATCACTGACAATGCAGGGCTGATGATGCAGGTAGTGGATTTATAGCTGGATAAAGTAGGAAGGTACCAGTGCAATATTATTTGAAAGATAGAACAGCCACAGAACTTGGGGCATCTGGGTGGCTCCATCTGTAAGCATCTGACTCTTGATTTCAGCTCAGATCATGATCTCACGGTTTGTGAGATTGAGGCCCATGTCTGGCCCTGTGCTTGGGATTCTCTCTCTTCCTCTCTCTGCCCACCCTGCTTGTACTCTCTCTCTCTCAAAATAAATAAACTTAAAAAAAAAGAAGCATTAAAAAAAAGAATCGCCACAGAATTCAAGAAATATTTCTTCTAATACTTACTCTTGTAAGACCCAAAAATAGTCTCAAGAAATAAGGATGAATATTGTAGTAAGACACGCCTATGGTAGGAGTCCAAATTTGTCCATGATTAATTGGGACATTATGCAAGCTGATAACAATTTGGGATTTAAATTTTTACATCTAAAAAGTAGGGAGGCTTGATTTATCAAAATATTCCTGCAAGGAAAGCATTGTATTTAAACATTATCAGGAAAAACAAAGAAGAATAAGACATAGTTCCTCACCTCTAGGACAAGTTAACAATAAATACGCTTAAGGCAAATAAAGTCATACAAGGGAAAATAATACACAACTGAATGCTGAGCTTAATTCAAAGAAAGAAAAGATGACTATTGGAGTATGGAGAAAGAAAGCTTTCAGGTAAGTCTTGAAGAATGGACTAAATGCAGGTGGGCTAGAAGGAAGAACTGAAAGAATTGAAGAAGCCAGAGAGCATACTCTCAGAGTCTCCCACATCCACATATGTGCTATTCCTTCAGCCTGGAACCCTCTTCTATGAGCTAAACTTCTCATGTCTTTGCTTTGCTCATTCTAAGAAGCCTCTGAAAGGCTCCAAGTGAGGTGCACCTTCTATATGTTGTCGCAATACCCTACTGGACTTCCTTCACCCAAAGCGGTTTCATACTGTATTGTATCTGCCACTTTATTTATATTTACCATCGGATTATAAACACTGAGAGGGTAGAGATTAGGTGTGTTTTGTTCACCATTATATCTCCAGTGGCTAATATTACACTTGTCACATAGCAGGAACTCAATAAATATTTGCTAAATGAATAAATGAGAAAACAGAAAAGGAAAGCTCATGCAAAGAAATAGTGAAGAGGCAGGCCAGTGAGAATAATCAGTCCCTACATTTTTCGGAATAATGTGAGTAAGGAGGTGTCATTTATTCATTCATTCATTCATTCATTGTTTTCAACATATATATTGAGTACAAGGTTGTCACTATGCTAAATGCCAAGAATACACAATTAAATAAGATATGGTCACTATGCTGATGTTACAGGAGGATTTAGACTACCTTTTCTAATAGATATCTGTAAATACTGTGTCAAAATACAAAATGTTAATTTTGAAAAAAGAAAAAAAAAGTAAAGAGACTTGAATAACAGAAGATACACTGAAGCACGCTTTAGCCACAAATTTACTGATAGCTTCTTATGCCTCAACTTGAGTCCCCGTTCAGAGGATACAGAAAAGAATAGATCGAATCCTTGCCTTCTAGTGCTCAGATGTGCTTTGGAGAGTTGCAAACAATGCTTGATAATTACAACACTTCTTTTTTCTTAAGATGCTGTAATACAGGTGGGTACAGGAATTCAAAGGACTGCAAAGGAGGAACATTTAACTCAGTGTGCTGCTGCTGCTGTGATGTTTCAACAAGAAATGCCTTCAAGACATGAGAATTGAACTCAGCCTTAACACATTATTGGCATTAGTTCACTGGTTTTGTGAGTCAGAGACTGGTTCTACCAAGCAGAACTGTCTTTTTTTTTTCAATCAAAGGTCACATACTTAAGAATAATATAGTGGTGAAGAAAAGAATTGGAAATAGATTATAAAGCCTAAATTGAAGAAGAGATAGGTGGGGAAGATGCTGCCAAGGCAAGCAGACAGCAAGCATAAAATTCCTTGTAGTTCATACTAAAGAGTTTGAGCTTTTGATAAGTTTTAGAATGGCAATGTTGTACACTGAGCAAGAGAGTAAGATTATCAGGATTGTGTTTTGGAAGAATTCCTCTGGTGGAAGGGTAAAATAACAATGGAGTGAGAGATATTTAGTGCTTAACATATGTAAATGTTTAAATGTAGCAACCAGAGAAGTCTGGATCAGATCTTCCTAATTTCTCAAGATCTATGGCTGTAAAACTTCAGAACTACGAGCTAATTTCAGGAAAAAAAAAAGATGTTGCTTAAAAAAGGAGTTTGGGGCATAGCCTTAAAGAAAAAGAGCTTTAGCTGAAAAAGAATTTTTTAAAAGTTTGCAAAAATTGCTTATACTTTGTTTATGTGATGACGATAATGACATTAGATAAACACAGTTGGTAGTTTAAATTTTTAGTTATGATTCTATATTCATCCATTTATATTACATAATTTTCTAAAGTGGCCAACCATACCTATCTCTCAATGTGCTACTCAGGTTATAGGTACAGATTGTGCTCTTAGAATACAGCTATGATATTCCACTTTTTCTATGTCTAAACTACTGTATCTTTCACATGAAAAATGAGTATGGTAGAAGTGAACAGCTTAATATTTACTATTCAAGGTGGGTTTGTCATTTCTAGGTGAAAAGAGAATGACATTGACATACTAAGGAGACTTACCAGATTTAGGATAGGTGGCAATGACAATGTCATCTGGTCTTGCCTGGAATGTCTCCACATCATCCCAATGTTTTATAAAATCTTTATACATTAGAATTCCATGGATTTTGCCAAAGTATTCACAATAGTCAGAAGATTTGGAAGAATCCATCATAAAGCGGTACACTAAAAGAAAAAAAATGTATGTTTTCCACTTTATATATACTTTAAAATATTTTAACATTAATAATAGCTCTAATTGAGGTTCTATTGGGTGTCTAGCATTTCTTAGCTATTGAGCATTTAAGGTAAAAAGCATATTGAAGGAGTATATAATATAGTCTTGGTGTTTTAAGAATCTCTACTATTAAGAAGGTAAGTCTAGCATATAAAAAGAGTAAGAAAGTACAAGGCACTATAAACTGTTTAACTACATTAAAATTATATTTATATACAATATTTGACATAGAAAATTCCATGATGAAGGATAACACAAGAACACTCTATTTCTGTACAAATTGATGGGGTATATAAAGAGATGAATATGCTCAAAAATACAACAATATTTTGGTAGATAATCACTCTGATTAAATATGTATACATTAAATAACAATAAAGATTGATGGTAACATTCGATAGCTATTGCCATATAGCTTCCTTAGTTCCTGAATATATTTCATTTAATGAAAAAATTCAAATGCTCAACGAGTGTATATAAAAGAAGATAAAATGAATGAAACTGTAATGGATATTTCTAAGACATGGATTCCTGAGGGAATAGAAGATTCCTCTGGGAACTCTCACATTACTTTTAATTTTCTCTTTCACTTGATTAGTAAAGTAGTGGATATTCCCATTGAATAACTTGTCTGAAACCTATAAGGGTAAACAAGATGGTTATCACAGATAATTCATTTCCTGATTCCATGACAACCCATTTTGTGTTCAGGGTTGGTCATAGAATTTTTAATTAAGCAAAATTTCCTTCATTGACTCAACTTCTTCTACTATCTTTTCTTCTCCATTCTGTTTGTGATATAGCATCTCAACAAATTTCGTCCGTCTTTGATATTAGCCACTCTAGATCTCCTTTTTATTCATCTGTGTGAACCAGACTAATGCAAATCCACCATGATGATGTCTCTGTGACCTGAAGCCTTCTTGAGCACATCACCTCCTACCCTTAAGTATACCCTTGGGGCAAAATGTCCTTGATCCACTCTGGAGACATGACTATGACACACACTTATTCTTAAACATTCTCCTCTTGGATGGTCCCCTAGCAGTGCTCCCAGCCTGTAGCGTTACAAAAGCAAATCTTAAGGGAGGTGGGGTTACAGAGATCTACTTGTCTTGTGTGACCCAACATACTCTTTTGTCCGTAAGTCCTCTTAATAAGACATTTCTTTTTTTTTTTTCAATATATGAAGTTTATTGTGAAATTGGTTTCCATACAACACCCAGTGCTCATCCCAAAAGTTGCCCTCCTCAATACCCATCACCCACCCTTCCCTCCCTCCCACCCCCCATCAACCCTCAGTTTGTTCTCAGTTTTTAAGAGTCTCTTATGCTTTGGCTCTCTTCCACTCTAACCTCTTTTTTTTTTCCTTCCCCTCCCCCATGGGTTTCTGTTAAGTTTCTCAGGATCCACATAAGAGTGAAACCATATGGTATCTGTCTTTCTCTGTATGGCTTTAATAAGCCATTTCTTGTCAAGCTGGACTTGGCCTTTTTCTTTGGTTTTATAGTTTCTTCAGTCTTTGGAAGTCATTTTGCATATACCTCCCTCTCATGAATCACTCTTGCTAAAAGCTGCCTGATACACTTATACATTTGTAACTGCTATGGCTTTTATTGTCTTTTTCAGAGAGCTTGTAGTATAACAGGAGCCTTCTGGAGGTAGCAGTTCTTTTAGCCACTCAATGTGTTTCCTTCAATATAGAGAATCCCAATTCATGAGAGATGCATTATAAAGAGAAAACGAGGATGGGCGCCTGGGTGGCGCAGTCGGTTAAGCGTCCGACTTCAGCCAGGTCACGATCTCGCGGTCCGTGAGTTCGAGCCCCGCGTCAGGCTCTGGGCTGATGGCTCAGAGCCTGGAGCCTGTTTCCGATTCTGTGTCTCCCTCTCTCTCTGCCCCTCCCCCGTTCATGCTCTGTCTCTCTCTGTCCCAAAAATAAATAAACGTTGAAAAAAAAAATTAAAAAAAAAAAAAGGGAAAACGAGGGTCACCTGGGTGGCTCAGTCTGCTAAGTGTCTGACTCTTGATTTCAGTTCAGGTCTTGATCTCATGGTTTGTGAGTTCGAGCCCCACATTTGTCTCAGTGCTGACAGTGCAGAGCCTGCTTGGGATTCCCTCTCTGCCTCCCCCTCACCCTGCTTTCTTTCTCTCTTTCTCAAAATAAACAAACTTAAGAAAAAAATAAAGAGAAAAATGAAATTGCAATTACCATGACAAATGGATTCACCTAAAATAAGAAATACCTGATGGTAAACTTTTAGTAAGAGAAGTCTTACAAACCAAATCAAATGAATAGACCATTGACTTCTAAAGGCTATTTCCAGTCATGTTTTCCCCACTATATTTGTAGCCTGCACATTACAGATGGAGACTTTCAGATGTTGCCTCCTAACTCCCAATCACTAGCACCTGGCACTAATTCCATGGATTCAGTCCCTGTCATTTCCCTCATTTTTTTCCTTTGCACTCACTGCTCTCCTTCAGAACCTATCCAACTATTGATTGAATATGAAACTGGCTTTCCAACTGGCTTTCCTATAAAAAGTGAAAATCTCTTCTTTCTACAACCACCAGTAAAAGGAAATGGATATTCTTTACTAGGCATTTACTTTGTGCCAGATTTGAAAAGTTTTATTTTAAAATCTTATTTATATGTCATAAAATTACATCAAAATTACATCATTACATCATTACATCATTAATTAGGTTAAGTCTGTCCTGCATCAGACTCCTTGAAGACATAAAACATATTTTTCTTATGCAAGGAAGGGCAAAAGTGCACATTTTTATGTATACATGTAAATGTACATATATAAATATCTATCTATCTATCTATCTATCTATTTATTTATTTTGTCAGAGAGAGACAGAGAGCAAGCAAGCAAACTGGGGGAGAAGCAGAGAGAGGTGAGAGAGAATCCCAAGCAGGCTCCACACTGTGAGCATGGAGCTCCATATGGATGTCAATCCCACAAACCATGAGATCATGACCTGACTCAAAATCAAAAGTCAGATGCTTAACAGAGTGAGACACTCTCAGGCACCCGAAATATCCTTATTTTTGATACATAATTGGTGAAAAAAATTAAACAACATATAGAAAATGAAAGTGCCTTCTTTATCCAAACTAAAGAGATAATCGCTCCTAATACCACGATATTTATGCTTCCAAATATTTAAATGTACATAAAACCTATACACTTATGTACCTAATTTAATTTGTATTATTATTTTTTTTTAATGTTTATTTATTTTTGAGAGAGAGAGAGAGACAGAGTGTGAGTGGAGTAGGGGTAAATGGAGAGGGAGACACAGAATCCAAAGTAGGTTCCAGGCTCTGAACTATCAGCACAGAGCCTGATGAGGGGCTTGAACTCATGAATCTCAAGATTATGACCTGAGTCAAAGTTGGACGCTTAACTGACTGAGCCACTCAGGCGCCCCTAATTTGTATTATATTTTACATTCACTTTGTACTCTATTCTTTCACTATATAATGTGAGCATTTTGCTGTTAATATATAAATTCTGTTTTTATTCTTATAAATTATACATAGAAGTCCATAGTATGGGTGTAATATAGAAAATAATTCTTTTTTTAAAATGTTTTTTGAGGTTTATTTATTTTTGAGACAGAGGGAGAGAGAGCACGAGTGCGGGAGGGGCAGAGAGAGAGGGAGACACAGAATCCAAAACAGGCTCCAGGCTCCAAGCTGCCAGCACAGAGCCTGATGTGGGGCTCGAACCCATGAACCGTGAGGTCATGACTTGAGCCAAGTTGGACACTTAACCGACTGAGCCACCCAGGCGCCCCGAAAATAATTCTTTAATGATGGAAATTCTTGTTTTTCCCAACTTTTTTTAGATATAAGTAGCACTCTAATGAATGTCTCTATGTTTTTCACAATTATCTTCACAGTGACAATGGAATTGCCAAAATAAAAGGTATATTGTTAAATATTTTTTAATCACTAAAATTATACCAATTTGCACACTATATGAAATTGCCTATATTCTCACGTGCTCACCAGTATTTGCAAATTATTTGTTGTAATCTTTCACAATTGAAAATATATGTTTTTAAAACTGTGTTTCAGAGATATTTTATAACTTTTTGTTTTCATCTCTTATAAATTTATTGGCTTTTTAAATTATTTTGATCCATTTTGTCTATTAAGGCTGTTACTTTTTCCTAACTGATTTTTTACCTAGTAATTTACTGTTGATTTTATATTGAAAGTATGGCTTATTTTTCTGTTTTATATGCCAGTAATATTTAAACTCTTTTATAGTTTAATATTTAATAATATTTAAATTAATATTTAAACTCTTGTATAGAAGTTTATTGCTCATAAAATCAAATGTGTCAAATTTTTGCCTTATGTTTGATATGGTAGTGTAAATATTTCAATTCATATGTTCATATAAAGAGAAATACATGTGTTAAAAGTTTATATATTCCTTTTAATTTAGATGATTAATGTGTACATAACAAAGAATAGAATATAATTTTAAGAGTGTGGGCCCTAAAGTAGACCACACTGCTTATTTTTTTAATTGTTTTTTAAACTTTATTTACTTATTTTTTTAAAGCAACAGAGTATGAGTGTGAGCAGGGGAGGAACAGAAAGAGAGGGAGAGAGAGAATCCCAAACAGGTTCCATGCTGTCAGAGCAGAGCCCAATGTGGGGTTCAAACTCACTAACTATGAGATCATGACCTTAGCCAAAATCAAGAGTCAGATGCTTAATGGACTGAGCCACCCAGTTGCCCTTAGACCACCTCATTTAAATCCTTGCTGTGCTATTTGAAATTATATAATCTTGGCAAATTATTTCACCTCAACTGAAGTATAAATTCCCATTATAAATGCTTAATAAGCATGAGTCCGTATTGTTATTGTGTCAAATCCATATGATAATAGAGCGTAGAGAGCAAGATGGAGTCTGTCATGTCACGTAAGAGCCTGGGTCAAGCAATGACAGTAGCGGTTAAGGGTACTGCAGCCCAGCCAAGATACCGCCCGGACCAGCATCAGCTGACACCCAGAACTGATAACAAGCAGAAGCAGAGGAGGTCTGCAGGGGGCCCAAGACCCTTTCAAAAGGGGAGGATTTTTGCAACAAACTGTCAGACTCTTCAGACATGACCCTTCTATGTCTGACCACTTAAAAAAGTCAGCTGCCTCTGAGGGCTCTGCCTGACTGATTTCTGAACAGAACTGAGGTCCTTCACCACTTGAACATAATAGGCAATACGTGCTGGATGCTGACCTGGACGTGACCGAAGCTCAGCTTTGAAGCTTTGACTGATTTTGCGTTTGGTTCATTAACTGACTTCCCACACCCTTCTGTTGCCTTGTTGGTTGTGTAGTGTGTCTTCTATTCTGCTCTGTGTGCTGTGTAAGAAACCAAGTTTAATCATATGGTGAAATGACATTGAGTTTGGAATCCTGAGCCTGCTTTATGATTATGATTAACTTTGCCTTATGATTCAATAAAGCTGACAATGTGGAAAGACACAACTTGCATGTGTGCCTTCACAGCCAGCTCATGACAAGGAGCCAGACACTTATGACCTTCTAAGTTAGAAACAGTACACATTACGTGGTAATATCTCCTTTCAAATCAGGGAAAATATGTGTTGTCAAAATTCCCAAGAATATATTTCAGAAATATAAAATTATCTGGCAAAACTGATGATCAGTTATCTGTTTTCTCACTGGGGAGAGTAAAATCTGTAAATATCCAATGTGACTTTCACACAATGTGACTTCTAGGTGTTTACTCCACTAAAGTTCTTTGGGACAACCCAGTATAGCATTTATTTCATTTCGGCCTCAGATTACACACCAGAAGAGAGACAAAATGAAAAATTTTTTCAATTATTGTTTCTGACTCAAGAATGGCTTAATGTATGTTTTGGAAACCACAGAATAACACTAGTCCTGCATGTTCTTACTTAAAAGGGAAAAAAGTTCCAGTTCCTATTGGCAAACTCAACTCTTTCAAGACCTCTCTCTCAAGTATGTTAGATGTAATCTCACCAGAATTATGACATTTTGATTAAAAATCAGTTTTGTTAATAAATCACCCTGTTCCTTAAACCTTCTTTGTTGTCAGACAATAGAAATCTTTCACTAGAAGAAATGTGTATAAAGGTGTTGCTTGCCCAACCTACTGATTTGTTTATTAATGTGAACAACTTTCTCGGTATTCTGCCAAGTTTGCAAAAATTGGCTTACAGTCAATTGGGAGTAGCTGATATATCATTCGGCACTTGGCTGACTTCTAGCTGCCCCTTCATGGTCAATTTTGGTCTCAGGGTTAAGCAAAGAGGCATATAATAATATCTATTTTCTTGTTAACGTCTTTTGGTAAATTATCTCTTATCACAATGTATGGACTTACACTCTAGATGATCTCTTCTTTCTTAAAAATTTATTTCAGTTAGAAATTGTCAATTTTATTTTCTAACTCAGTATAAAGGTTATTGTGGTCTAGAAACACCAACAAAAAATTGTTAAAACTGTGATTTATAAATTCAGTTGAATTCAGAAAGAATTTTTCTTTTTATTCCTCTTTTTTCTTCTTTTCTTCCTGTTTTCTTTCTCCCTTTTTCTATCCTCCCCTCTTCCATCCCTTAATCTGACTCTCATTCAGCAAATAATCTCTGTGAGTGCCTACCTCATTTCCAGACACAGTGTTAAGTGTTGAGCAAACTGTGGGCAGTGCAGATGTATAGGGTTTGCTCAATCCTCATCATCTTCTGCTTACTTGGATTTGGGTAAAATGGCTGGAAGCAGAGAATATCCTTTTCTCCATCAATCTACCCCAGCCTCAGCACTATGTCACAAAGCAGATGCTGAAAAATACTTGTTAAATTTAATTGCTAGATCAAATCTCTCTGGGCTTTCCAATTTTAATTAAGGACTCCTAGATAAAATAGGTACTATGCTGCCAAAAATCTACCTGTCAACTATTTACTAAGGACTTGGATATATGCTGTATTTTTTCTGATGTATCTCACCTAAAAGTAATGATAATATTTACAAGGCCCATGGTACTATGAGACTGGTTCTGACATATTTCACAGAAGTGATCACCAGACTAGAAGTCACTCTTCATTTTAACTGTTTCTACTCTGCTTGCTCTGTTTCCTTATTAATGAAATGGATAACATCCATTAATGAAATGGATAACAGCATTCAGGACTTACAAGGTAACTATGATATTGTAGTTTTGTGTTAAAATTATTTAAACAGAAAAGCATTATGTAATGCAAGATTTATTTTTAATGTCAAACAAGGGACTTAAAAAGGCTTTAACATGCTTTACATTATTAAGTAACTAAAGTATTAATATAGACTTTATTCTCTCTATATTTCCTTTTTTAACAGTTTTGTGATATATAATTTGCCCCTAAACTTTTTATATCTAAAATTTTAATATTAATATCAGTAATAAAAATAAAAATACAACCTGTCCAGATGATCCTGGGAAGGAAACTGGATGGTCCAATTTAGTTTTCTTTAAACTCCACTCAGGTTTTAGGCTGCCAAAAAAGATGAGAACCACTTATGCATTTGGGATGTTTCCGGTGAGCTTTTATTCTCCATGCCAGAGAAGGAGGCGGAGATAAATTTGTGGGGGTTGGTCTTCTGGAGTCTGTGATTCACTGGAGTATCACAAATATGTATACATACCAGCTGATGCACTTAGCCAGAGTCATTCTCATTCATACAGAGATGTTAAAAAGCCTCTGCTGTTATTTTTCATTTCTGGCTCACAATCAAATTCCTAAATTTGCCAGTAGCAATCAGTGGGTGGGGGAGAGGGAGGGAGAGGAAGTGACTGGGAAAATGAAGGAGAAAGGGTTTGGAGAAAAATATATGAGAACTTGAAAGGGGGGTCCTTTATTTACTCACTGGCAAATAATAAAATGAGGCTGACCTTCAAAAAAGTAAACTTCCTAGAGGAGTGAGAGAAGAAAAAGAGAAGGAAAAGACAGGAGGGCAGTGAGGACCCTGGATCGGGAGACCCAGCTTCGTTTCCTGAGAACTGTTTAAGAAGGCTTTGTAGTACCTGGTTGTGTTCTAACAAGCCAATTGGAAAACTACATCCTGCTTAAGATCTTTGCCTTTAACTCTGAAGCAACCCTGAAAACAGATGACAGCTAAGGAAAGAATGTAGACATCACTCACCTTTGAGCTATTATTTTAAAATTCTCTTCACTCCCAAACACACACTTAATGTATAGTGTGGAATTTCCACGTAAAGTTAATCATTAATCTCAATGGAATTTAGATAAGAGAATGTAAAAAATAAAAGGTCAAAGGTTTGTGCAGCCCAAGAACCCTTCACCTTTCTTCTTTGCAGCTCTCTGCACCTGGTTTGTCTTCAGTTGAGGAGATTCTTCCTTGTTCCTGCCCCTCTACCCTCACCAATACCTTCAAACCAATTAGTTTCAAACCTGATTACTTCCCATTCGTCTCTTGATTTTTTTTTTTTCCAACGTTTATTTATTTTTAGGACAGAGAGAGACAGAGCATGAACGGGGGAGGGGCAGAGAGAGAGGGAGACACAGAATCGGAAACAGGCTCCAGGCTCTGAGCCATCAGCCCAGGGCCTGACGCGGGGCTGGAACTCCCGGACCGCGAGATCGTGACCTGGCTGAAGTCGGACGCTTAACCGACTGCGCCACCCAGGCGCCCCTCGTCTCTTGATTTTAATGAGATGGCATTTCCTCTGAAAGGCCTTCCGTGACTCTTGCAGAACTGAATATCCTTTAGAGTCACCTTCAAACCCTACACTGTCCTCTGTAACACTTTCTCCACTGTGCTGAAGTTAAACTTTATTTGTCCTGCTCCTTATTAGCACATAACTGATTTAGACACAAGGTTTTCACTATGTCTGGCATTCAGCAGGCTATGCATTGAATACATATTAACTGAATGAAAGTGGCTAATGTGTGCAAGGGACATAACAAGCTAAGAAAACCATAGTCCTTAGTTATAGACGGCATTCATACCTAGCCCTACCAAAGCTAAAAAAGAACAGATGAGTGGTTTCTGAGAAATGAGGCTTTTCATGATAAAAAATCAAGGTACAGCAGGAATAATCAGAGACTCAAATTTAGATTTTATATTACTTGGTTTTGTGTAGTTGGTCATTTTATTTTTTTGTATTTTTTGAGTTAGATAAAATGTATGTGTTAAAACATTTAATTATTAAATATACAAATTAAATATAGACTATAATTTTTAACCTTGTGGCATAGTTTAATTTTTTAATTATTTTTGTTTAAGTTTATTTATTTATTTTGAGAGAGAGAGGGAGAGAGAGAGAAAGAGAGAGAGAGAGAGCATGAACAGGGCAAGGGCAGAGAACGAAGGAGAGAAAAAAATCCCAAGCAGGCTCTGTGCTGTCAGCACAGAGACTAACACAGGGCTCCATCTCATGAACCGTAAGATCATGACCTGAACCGGAATCAAGAGTTGGGCACTAAACTAACTGAGCCACCCAGGTGCCCCTATTATTTTTTAATGATAAAGATCTGTGAGACTTCCTTTATTCTTTGCCAAAAATAATCTTTTATTCAAAAAGTCAAGATACAAATACAAGCTAACCAGAATAGGTTTAACTTTCATGCTGTCTCTCTTATCTTTCACTTGTAAACAAGTGGTTGCAGGGATGTTCAAATGCTTCTAGTCATGTGATGTTGGCAACCTCCAAAGGCCAAAACAGACTGAAGCCTTAGAAAATCTTGTAAATAAAAAGAAAAAAGAAAGGACATAAATAAATAAAATCACAAATTAAAGAGGAGAGATGATAAACAATACCACAAAATATAAACAATTATAAGAGAATGTTATGAAAAATTATATGCCAACAAATTGGGCAATCTGGAAGAAATGGAAAAATTCCTAGAAACATACAAACTACTAAAATTAAAACAGGAAGAAACAGAAAATTTGAGCAGACCCATAATCAGCAAAAAAAAATTGAATCAGTAATCAAAAATCTCCCAACAAACAAAAGTCCAGGGCCAGATGACTTCCCAGGGGAATTTGACCAAACATTTGAAAGAGTTAATACTTATTCTTCTGAAATTTTTCCAAAAAAAAAAAAAAAAAAAAAAAAAAAAAAAAAAAAAAAAAAAAGAAATAGAAAGAAAACTTCCAAACTCATTCTAATACTCTTTCTACAAATCATTACCTGGATTCCAAAACCAGACAAAGACCCCACTAGAAAAGGAGAATTATAGGCTTATATCCCTGATGAATATGGATGCAAAAATTCTCAATAAGGTACCAGCAAATTGAATCCAACAGTACAATAAAATAATTATTCACCACTAGCAAGTGAGATTTATTCCTGGGCTTCAAGAGTGGTTCAATACTCACAAATCAATCAATGTGATTCACCACATTAATAAAAGGAAAGGTAAGAACCATGTGATCCTCTCAATAGATGCAGAAAAAGCTTTTGACACAATACTTTTTGATTCTTGATAAAAACCTTCAACAAGATCGGGATAGAGGGAACATACCTCAACAGCACAATGGTCATATATGAAAGACCCACAGCTAATATCATCCTCAATGGAGAAAAACTGAGAGCTTTTCTTCTACTGTCAGAAACAAGACAAGGATGTTCACTCTCACCACTATTATTTAACAGAGTATGGAAGTCCTTGCCTCAGCAATCAGACAACAAAAAGAAAAGACATCCAAGTTGGCAAGGAATAAGTCAAACTTTCACTATTTGCTGACAACATGATATTCTTTGTGGAAAACTCAAAAGATTCCACCAAAAATTGCTAGAACTAACATATGAATTCAGTAAAGTTGAGGTTATAAAATCAACATACAGAAATCTGTTTCATTTTTATACAACAATAATGAAGCAGCAGGAAGAGAAATCAAGGAATCAATCCCATTTATAATTACATTAAAAAGCATAAGATGCCTGGGAATAAACCGAACCAAAAAGGAAAAAAAAGATCTGTACTCTGAAAACTAAAGAACACTTATAAAAGAATTTGAAGATTACACAAAGAAATGGAAAAACATTCTATATTCATGAATTGGAAGAACAAACATTGTTAAATGTCTGTACTACCTAAAGCAATCTACACATTCAATGCAATTACTATGAAAATGACACCAGCATTTTTCACAGAGCTAGAACAAATAATCCTAAAATTTGTATGAAACCACAAAAGACCCTGAATAGCCAAAGCAATCTTGAAAAAGAAAAGCAAAGCTGGAGATATCACAATTCCAGACTTCAAGCTATATTACAAAGTGATAGTGATCAAGACACTATGGTACTGGCACATAAACAGATACATATTCATTGGAACAGAATAGAAAACCCAGAAGTGGACCCACAACTCTATGGTCAACTAATCTTTGACAAAGCAGGAAAAATATCCAATGGAAAAAAGACAGTCTTTTCAGCAAATAGTGTTAGGAAAACTGGACAGTGACATGCAGAAGAATGAAACTGGACCACTTTCATAAACCATACACAAAACTTAATCCAAAATGGATGAAAGACCTAAATGTGAGACAGGAAACCATCAGAATCCTACAGGAGAACACAGGCAGAAACTTCTCTGTTTCAGCCAGAGCCAATACTTACTAGACATGTCACCAGAGGCAAGGAAGACAAAAGTAAAAATGAACTATAGAGACCTCATCAAGATAAAAAGCTTCTGCACAGTAAAGGAAACAGTCAACAAAACTAAAAAGCAAACTTCGGAATGGGGGGAGATATTTGCAAATGACATATCTGATAAAAGATTAGTGTCCAAAATGTATAAAGAACTAATCAAACTGAACACCCCAAAACAAATAATTCAGTGAAGAAATGGGCAGAAGACATAAATAAGCCTTTTCCAAAGAGGTCATCCAGATGGCTAACAGACATGTGAAAAGACGCTCAACACCACTCATCATCAGGTGAATACAAATCAAAACCACACTGAAATACCTCCTCACACCTGTCAGAATAGGTAAAATTAACAACACAGGGAACAAGAGATGTTGATGAGAATGCAGAGAAGGGGATTCCTCTTACGCTGTGGCTGGGAATGCAAACTGGTGCAGCCACTCTGGAAACAGTATGGAGGTTCTTGAAAAAGTTTAAAACAAAGCTAACCTATAATCCAGCAATTTCACTACTAGGCATTTACCCAAAGAATAGAAAAATACAGATTTGAAGGAGTACATGCACCTCGATGTTCATAGCAGCATTATCAACAATAGTCAAACTATGCAAAGAGCCAAAATGTTTTGGATAAACATATCCAGCCAAAATGGATGGATAAAGAAGATGTGGTATACACACACACACACACAC